TAAGGACATTCGTATCACTCACTCATCGCTAAGTTTTCGTTGATATCTTGATTATCTAATAAAAATCCTGCATCGCTTTTATGCTCGCGTTTGGAACTATATTCACCTTACTAACTCGTTAGTTGGAAGCGCACAGTGACTTTCCACCTTTGGCTAGCTTCATCAGTTTATCTATCCAGCCGCCTTTAATTTAGTACTGTCTTTCGACTAAACCGTGGTATATTTGGCTGGTCGTTGCATACCAATTTAAGGTTTCTCAGAGTTCACGAGGAATCTGTTTTGGCTTCCTTGCTATTTAGCAATCTAGTGCGCTCAGGCAGTGTCCGAATTACAGTTTGATACATACCGCGTATGCTCTTCCCTTGCGCTAAGTGCATGCAACAAAGTTATGGTTGAAGGTTTTGTCTTAACGGAGCCTTACTGTATCTAAATGAAGTGACCTCTTCGCAAAGACGTCAAAGCAAGTGGTAGTCGGTGTACACAGGCGGCGAGATGGGCATGGACGTATGGACGTATCAGATGTCGCTTTGCCCTGGGGGCAACCGGGGCCGAGTGACTCTGTTTCTCTCTCAGTGTCCTCCTACATCACCTCCCACTTCCTCTCCTCACAAACTTTTGTGTACTCAGTTTTATTGTGACGGTTATTCTGAAGATTGTATGGTGTTTGTGCTTTGAAACCTGCCCGCTTATCCTTTGTTTATCCATGTTGTGCCGTGAAGATCATAGAGCTAATTTATTTGCGAGACTTAATAGTAAAGGGAAGAGAAATTGTGGCTTGAAAAACATTGGTGACCTAAGCGACTCTAAAGCAACCTCTTTCGAGAGATATCGAGAGGGATGCTGTCTCTGTTTCTCGCTCACTCGACCGTAGGGATGGCTAATTGGCAGTGGCGCTTTTCATTTGCGCCTTCCACTCCAATTTCACAGTAACTTGTCACTTGCGGCCGCGTGGTGGTGGCTCGAGCTGAGTGAGTCTCCGCTGGCATCATCTTGTTCTCGTCCTCACAGTGCAACTCTTGGCTTACTAGTACACTGAAGTTCTTTTTTGGAATTGCATTTCGAAATAAAAATCGCTATTATGCTATCTTCATTGGCCTTCATAGTCTTGCTTAGGTTATTCGAGTTCCATTTGTTGACTTTGTTTTCTTCTTAGTGGATGTATTTCCTTCTTAGTGAATGTTTTGCTCTAATCTGGTCACCTTCTGCTTAGCTAGAGGCACATATGGCTAGGCGAGTGCGAGTTTTAGGATATAGACGCGTACACCCACCGTATACCTGGCGGGCGACGTAATCGGACTCGAACGGGCATTGGTTGGCTGCCGCTGCATAATACTCCTTGAAGGGACGAAGAGGAGGCAAGCAGGATATGTGCTGGAGGAGAAATCCGTACACATCTACTGCTGATGTAAGCAAGTGGTTTCGTTAGTGGCCACAAGTGAGGGTAGCAGGGGGGGGGGGCACGCTGTCGAGAAGACACCATGTCGACTAATTGGAGAACGCAGCGAAGCGGCGATTTGACGGTAATGGGCGAAATGCCAGCGATAGCCTCCCATTATCGCCTAATAGGAGTCGCACCACTTGCTTATCTCGATATCCTAGTGAAGCGTGTGCCTACTACTCCTGTGTGTCACCGCATCTCTCCTGCGGCTGCACTGCTTCTTCTTCAACGCGAGTTTTCTTCTTTTTCTTCGCTGGTGTCACGGTTCTTGCGCTACTAAAGTTCGTTTATATCGGTTCTGCATCTAGTGCACCTAGCCTCTTTGTTTTGCAGATAACATTTTCACATTCACTGAACTCCGTGGAGATATCGCTTTTTGTTTGTTTCTTCAGGTCCCTTCGTACCGCTGACACTTGTGTAACAGTCCATCACCCTTAGAAAATGCTTCATTTCAAGCAAACACATTGTCGGCTCATCCGTGCTGCCTTACAAGCAGCCCAGTCACACTTTGTCATCTGCAGCCATGAGATGCAATGGCGGGAAGTGCCGACGGACAAGCGCCGACGATGGTCCTTGAGTGTTGACTCGGAGCGGGTGTGATAGCTGTGTGGGGTTAGCATGTGATTAGATTACTCGTGTTAGTGGTCGCCGGGCGCTGACAAGTCAAAGAGTTGTGATCCCGCGCCGAAATTGGGTTTCAAGAGGAATCCGCTTAGCTGCGGCGGCCAACTCTGCACGACTTAGTTGGTGGATTCATCCCTCAGGCGCTCTCTGTGCACCAAGTTTTATCCCATTTATGAGTGGCTTCGCTCGACGTAGCTTCAGCCGTTTCGACATCTCATTCCCCTTCGAAAAACTCGCGTTCCCCAGAGCAGTACGCATTGTAGGGGAAGAGAGCGAAAGGCTCTACGGAAAGTTCGTGTGATGAGCATTGTCCAGAGGTGGCTCTCAAACGCTCGTCAATAGATAGTTGGGTAAGTGGCGTAGTCAAGCCAGCAAGAGCGCGCTCACACAGTGTGATTCAATAGAGGCCTGATGTTAATTGTAGCATCAGCTATAAGCCTTGGTAACCGCTCTCGTATTCCAACTTTGTGGTCTCTGCGTCGGCAAGATGGCCGCCAATCATACTCTGGCTTCCACATTCATCTGCTCGGTGACATCCTCATATGCGCCACGATGGGTTCTGATTTCTTCACCTCACGTACTTGACATATGCTCTAGTGGCTGGATCACGTCCCTTCAGCTAATGCTCTCACTTCGCCGATCCTTTGAACGGTATGGAGGATATAGGTATTCATTTGGATAAACATATTAGCATTCGAGCCCCATACAAATTCAACACCTACGATGCCAGCCTCTCGAAACACCTGTCAGTCTAAATTACTGATTTGTCTGGTTTCTGACACTTCGTAACATCGTACACCTACTCCACTTCTGCTCTTTGCTATGTTTTGATCTTTTATGACTGAATACATGCGTGAGTAAGCTACGAATAATCAAACGCTTGTTGTCATTAACTTAGCTTGCGCATCCTTGAACTTGATTTAAATATGACAAACTCATTGTCTGATGTGTAATTTTTTTTGTTGATATTATGTTGCTAGTATAGAACTCGCAGTTTCTCCTCCATTTTACTGTATCGATATGCGGAATTGGCCAGTACCAGATGCGTAATAATGCAGTAGTAGTAATTTTGACGTCAATCCGCCGCTTATGGATCAGAGTAATATCCAAATGAGCAGTGCTGCTTCCACACGTGTAGCTCTACCAGCTGCTAAGCGGATTTCATGGCGATTGATCTTAGCCAGTGGGTTGCTGTTCTGGTGGAATTCTCCCATTCACCTTCTTTTCTTATCGTGTTTCCCGTTTCACAACGTTCATCAGCGTCGATTCATGGAGTGAATGCTCGTTGTGCAGACTTGGGTCCTCAGTCATACCTTTCATGGCTTTGTGTTTGAACATCTTGAATTTGTTTTGGGATGTCCGTCATGTACTTGAAAGTGATTTTGTGATGGTTTCGGGAACTTGCAAATTATGTCTGACTTATGCTATAAAGTTTCGTTAGTTTTTTGCAAGTATTAAACGCTAGGTAGAGAGTTTGAGAAATGTGTGATGTAGAGTTGTCACAAAATCAATTAATGCTTCAAATAAGCTTTTATGGGTATACAAATCTGTAATGATGACAGTGGAAGCTGCAACCCCAAGCAGTGTTAACGATGTCTCGCTTACCTTATCCTCTGCGTCTTTTTCAAATTGCCATATCTTTCCCCTAGCTATTATGGTGTGCTAAAACTTTCAATTTGTGTTCTAATTTCGATCATTTTCATGTTAGTGACAAAGCTGTTATCTCAAAGTAGCATGTGCATCACCTGCTGTCCTTGTTTCGTAGCCAAATTTCTTTCTAAGCTCCATTCGCGCATCACTGAAGTAACGTTGAAAAAATGTCACTCCGTGGTCTGTCAAAAAATGTCGTGATCCTTTGTGGGGCTCGTGATTGAAACTTATGAATTTTTGCGCTTTTTTGGACTGAATCATGTTCCGCATATTTTCATGTTCAGGTTTGGTTACCGAAATCAGATTTTGTTCTCCTAGCATCATCATTTACCCTATTTTTCGTTTTCGCTTTTTTGTGTACCGCTATCGCTCGAGCAAACTATGCTTATTGCCAGTATAGCTTTTCGTTGTGGCTGTTGCAAATCGCCTGCTTCGCTTTGTTGCTGAACAGCTTATGGTGTGCTAGCTGTATTGTGGGCCATGCCGACAACTTGCGGCTTCCCGAACTGCAAGTTTCGATCGCGGTATCGTGGACAAGAGGATAATCGCCACTTCTATCGTATACCTAAACGCCCTCAGGTTTTACGGCAACGTTGGCTGCTCGCTATTGGACGTACAGAGGAAACAGTCGTCAGCCAGGTAGAGGCACTATGCTTGAAGTGCTTTAGATTTTGATGTAGCGCTAAGATTTCGCTTTGCTTTTTGTGATGCTTTGTCAATCTGTGCAAGTTATCGAGGGCTATAACTCCATCTGTGATTCAAGCAAAACCATTACAATGCAAGCAGCATTCCAATTCCAAGTTGTGCTCAATGCTTTTCGTTCCCTCTCTCCAAATGTCCGAGCGCATTTTATTGTAGGAAATGCTGTGCACTGCATTAGAGCAAGTGATTAGTATGAGGCTAAGGTACAGTACATACATAATTATGTGCTGAAGAATACGCTAACCTTCATGTAGATATCAGCTATGCACTTTCCCATTTGGAGCAATTCTGTGCAAGAGTGTGAAGTGAGCAGAGACTGTGTTATTATCTAAAACGGGATCATTGCCATAGGTTCTAATGAGTATCCGTTTATCTATTGGTGGTGTAAATTGCGATGATGGCAGGTTGCCAGGCAGCGGCACCCTTCCTCAATCTGGCCAGTAGGGAAGAGTAAATTGTCGTCAAAATATGAAGCGGATTATAAGAGGCAATAGATCCCAGCGTACTCATGTATGCTTGGCTAGAATTTCTCCACAGGGGTTCCTAGCCTATCAAAATAAGGCAAACTTACTAATTGCCCTTTCAGCTTCGGATCTGCTCAGCTCATTTCGAAGGAGGTGAAAAAAAGGAAGGAGACATACCGGTGCCAGACCCTACGGTGAGAAAGATACCATATACCAGTACACCAATCAGCGTGCACTCGACTGCATTCGCGGTGGTGTAAAGAGTGATTCATTGCTAGCTGCTCGTTGTGTCAGGTCGACAAACAGCTGAACATCGAGTTGCCACCCAAGGAAAGCAAAGGCGGCGAAAGGAAACGTAACAAAGGTAATAGAAGCCGCAAAAATTGGTCAGGCCGAATTCTCATCTTCTATATTCAGGCAGTCCTCCAATATCAAGGTCGCTTGTTGTACGAAAGAGGCAGCTTCCCGATTTTTTGAGGAACTCTCTCGGTGAGGCTTTTTCGTTCGTTAGGGTTCATATCGCTGTCTTCTACGTTCAATGATTTTTATGCGAACGTCGCCTGGCCTATCATTGAAGCTCATCAAACAATCTCTCAAAACATTTTTAGAATTGCTGACATCCGAGCGCGTCTGCACAAACATTGATCCTTCGTAGGCACAAGTTTATTCGACATGCACTGATTCCCCTTGTTTATCTGAAAAAGTCCATTTTCGCGCAGTATCGGCTAATCATTTTTCTTTGAATGTCCATTTCCAGTATCGCGTGCTTTCTTTCTCTAGAATTCTTAACTAAAATTCTCATCTATTTTTTTTACATTTTGGCTCATTTCTGTTCCTTTCTGGCTCTTTGGAACTGAGTTTTTGAGAGCGTCAAAAGTCAGCCATGTGTCTTGTTATATCGCTACTAGCATGATATCAAGGAGGAGCTGTGAATCGTCTAATCTCAAAAAATTCCTAATCAATTTGCATTTTATTCTAAATGTCTTTTTGTGGGCAGCTCGACAGCTTGAGGTTTTGCGCTTATTCGTTTTGATCCACTAAAGCAATCAAATACTTTATCATTGAAAGTCGGAATTATTGGGTTTTACATACATCTCGAAAATCGCTTCTTCTCTTCCTGTATGAGTTACACCAGTCCTGACAAAGGAATATGGATAATTTATCGAACTGTTGAACTAATCAAAAGTGCTCACAACTTTTATGTACTTGCATCTCAGGTTTTTCGAAGATTTGTTTGTTTTTCTTGGGACTCATAAACGGCATCGCAAAAGTCACGAGCAGTTGGAAATTCTTCCATACTCAATCCACACTCAGTTGTTCACGATGCACAAATTTCTGGTGATGAAATCTCTTGCGCTTTACATGTATCACTGAATCTCTTGCAATTGTCAGTTGTCTGAAATTGCAGAGGTGTCATTTCATGTTCACTATTCGCAAAGTTTTCTGAGGTTTATAATTAAAAACTGAGTGTGTGCAGTACTGAATGCAAGCGAGCAATCCAGTTTAGTGGAGCTATGGAGTTTTTGTCGCCTACAATTCTTCTACTAATTTTGTAAGCTATAATGATCTATTTCTCCGCTCATCAGAGGACACGATTTGTGCAGTTATGCCCTTATATCCGAAGTGCGCTTTTTCTTACAATTAGAATTCTAGTTTTTGCTCATCAAGCGTGGTTTTCTGTGCCACTTCTATCATTTATTCCGTAAACCGTCCTCCAACGAATTTGGGTTCAGATTATAGGTGTTAGAAAAATCATGCACATTTGCGAGATAGGGCTGCTTATAAAGAAGGTGGTCTAAGGTAGGATCAACCTGTAATTTGCTTTCGGAGTCCTTAACCAGTACTACTCTCGCGCCAAGTAATTAAGATACGCAACAAATGTCTAGTTTTGTCACAAGACAATCTTGTCTCCTTCGTAGTCTCCAAAAAAAAATTCGATCACTGGAGGAAGTAGCGCGAATGTTGTTACATCCAGTTATCTCCCGTGAATATCACAAAGATTTTGGAGAGCATTTACGTTCAACGACAACTTAGGCAATGTTTTTTTTCTACCAAACCTTTCTGGGAGCTCTACTCATTTTTGGGTACTTGCTGTTTTTGCGTTTAGCGCGAACTTACAAGGGAACCGTGTCGAGTCGAAGTGGCCTTTCCAGATGAGACCCACACTGCTTTGAAGAGTATTAAGCGGTGATTCCAAATCTGCTTTCCAAAACTGCCAAGCGCCTCTGGACGCCGAGTTATGACCGTTCTTCGGAACGAAAAATGAATGCAGAATTTAGGTAAAATTGATGGTTACAACCTTTCCAACGCTCAGACAAAGCAATGTTAAGTATTAGCATATTAAATAAAATGTATCCATTGCATAAACAGCTCTGATACTTGACACTGGACCATTTGAGCAAACTTGGGCGATTTTGCTTCAATTTTGTGTTCAATTTTTTGACCTGAAAAACGAGCATAACTCGGCGTCCAGAGGCGCTTGGCAGATTTGGAAAGCAGATTTGGAATCATCGCTTAATGCTCTTCAAAGCAGTATGGGTCTCATCTGGAAAGGCCACCTCGACTCGACACGGTTCCCTTGTTAGCTGCGTTCTTGTCAGATTATCCTTTCCCTTTCTTGCAGCATTTAGTAACGCAGATGCAAGTGCCATGAAATATGGCATATAAGGCCTCCCCCAAATAAATTATCTAGTATATAAAAAATCGTTAACTCAATTCAAAAATCTGCAAACAGCGGGAAACCGCGTGGAGGTCCCGAAGCGAACGCTCTTCCGAATAGCACCTCTAGAATGCTGGTTCACTAATCTGAAGATAAGTCCGATACAGATAAGGCCGCGTCGGAGTATTCAAGATTCTAGAGTAGTTATAATAAAAAACATATCTTAGGTGTACCTTAATTGAGGACGAAGGAAGCGGTCTTATATCAGAATCTACAGTAACAGGTTCACGTTCTATATTTCCGTTGTAACTTGGGGAGCTCTATACAATGTTCTCCTTTTTATGTCGTGAAAGAAGCAATAGAGGTAATTGTCAGTATCATTCCACCAATGTAACTGTAAGTAATCGAACCCCAAACAAATTTGTTTGTCAAACATTTTCATAACTCTTGAACAACATTCAGCTCTCAATACTTGCATAACGTCCAGATCATTTCTTCACGAGTGATAATTTGCGAAGTGTTGGGAAATCATTGTGTTTCATTGGGTGGAGGCCCACTACAACATTATGTGCAGTATCTCACTCTTCAAATAGGTTTTTAACAAAAAAATATAGAATGAAAATGGAAGAAAGCGTTGCAGATTGAGACAGAGGCAGAGAAGAAGTGCCGAGGCTTTCACCTTCAACTAGAGCTGAATTTACTCTATGTAGTGCTTACAGTGGCGGACTGAGCCTCCCCTCCCCCCCCCCCCCCCCAGAAAGGGTCACGAAATCTTGCAAGTTACTCAAATGAGTTAGCAAGATGTGCAAGTGACTTGTTTATGCTTGTAAATAATTGAAATGTTTCTAAAAATCTTTTAAAAATTCAAATTAGCTTTGTAAATTTTTCAGGGGCATGACTGCCACCACGCCTCCTTCTCAGATTTCGAGGTTACGAGCCTAAAAGCACTCCAAAATTTTTTTCGGTTTGCGTGGCTGACGCATTTCATTTTTCATTCGCACTTCATTCGAATAAAAGTTTTGTCCCGCCGTCCCCAAACGGAAATCCTGAGACCGCCATTTATTGTCAACTAGTCCCATATTTCTCACTCGAATAAATTTCGGTTCGTTTTTATTTTTTTTCGTCTGGCTCATTCTTCTCTCGTCTGGCTCAGTGATATAATTCTCGTATCTATAAAAATTTTTATCTTCTCATATTTTTAGAGTTTCCCATTTGCGGGCAAGTATCCAAGACCTTTGCTACAAAACAGCAAAGCAACCCCGGGACAACAGCAATACGTGCGCGAGCTCCCGCTCATACTTGACACTGAATGAAATTGTGAATTAGAAATGCATGAGAATGAGTCTGTGCGCTTGTGCAGCCACTGTAGGGTATAAATTTAAACAAGCTAGAAAATCCCAAATATGATTCTGGTTTTGCACCACTCTTGTGCTTGTGACCTAGCACTAGCCTTTCTGATTTTTTGCCTGTAAGTGCAGCTGGGACATCTGATAAGTTTGAGCAGTATAATTCCTTTCACAATAATATAAAGGTTTTAAAAAATCTTGACTCAAATCTTGATAATCCCGAAATTTGTTATTGTTTGTTCCGACAGCGCCTACGGTGGAGCATTAACTTATATATTCGCAACTTCTGCGAGGCAAGAGCTATAAAACAAAAGTATTTGCAAGCTCTCCTATCATTCGCGCAACTGCTTTTGAGATATCGATACCAATTCAAAACATCGCGTTTCCTTTGGCAGAACGAAACATTAGAGATCTTTTGTAGAGACGAAGCTGTTGAAACTCAATGCCGCTTCCTCTTTTACATCGAAACAGTAGCTCACAGGCAGCATCCACTCAGATTTTCGTCTTCAATGTTTTTATCATTCTTGGGCCTTTTCATGGCCCTAATTTTGAATATGAGCTGCAAATCACGGCGAAAGTTCACAAAATTCCTTCTCTGAGACCTTATCTTGGCAAACGTGGACGAGTGTTCCGGCATTCTTCCCGTCGCATGCAATACCAAATGTCGTCGTATACAAGAAATGGAGCACAGTGAGCGCCTCGATTGTGCTTGCCACTTCAGAACGTGTCAGGGAGTCGTTCTTGGATGGGCACAGCGCAAGAAACGGGGAAGAGCGCAAAGGGTTCCAGGTCCTTTTTCTCCTTTTGAAGCCATCATTAAAAGACCGGACCAAAGCATTTGGTCTACTGCTAGGGTCATCTTATATACTGGACAGTAGTCTGGGTAGCAAAATTGTGGGTGGACGCTGTCTCTAAGCGAGTTGTCTGCCAAGCACCACTTTGTAACTTTCTTTTCATTGTTTAAATATAAATAATTCACTTGTGGCATCAACGACATCTCATGTTATAACATAGTTGTTTTTTTAGCTCAGGGTTTACGACGTGACATTCAATTTTGCATTGTCAGCACTAACTAATTTGAGCATTCTTATGCGCCTTTGGTGAGCAACGTTCAATGGACTCAACTGCTCAACAGAACATGTTCTAGGCGGCATCTCTTGGTTACAAATCATGCATATATCCTCTTTGCACATTTACCTGTACCAAGAGTTTCGCCTGAGACGTATCTGCAATAATGAACATGCATAGCGGGTTGCTGTTGACGCACGTGAATGGAGAGTATATTCTGCCTATATCGTACTACATCGATAGATGTATAGATGTATCTCAGGCAAACGCCCAACATACTCCACCAGAAGAACCCATTTTTTAATTGTTGAAAACTTTTTCCGATAGCAGATAGACCGTACCATATTCCTGACTGCAGGTTAATGTCGTACAAAACAAATTCAAACATCCTTCACTGCTGCAATATTAGTCTAGAA